CAGGTGATACTGTAGATAAAATGATAGGATGTTAAATAGAGAGAAATGATAGAGAGAGATGATAGAGATGATACTGTGGATATAAATGATAGAATGTTAAATAGAGATAGATAGACAGACAGACAGACAGACAGACAGACAGACAGATAAATAGATAGACAGAAAGATAGATAAACAGAGAGATAAACAGAGAGATGATACTGTAGATATAGATAGGATGTTAAAGAGGCAGACAGACAGATAATAGAGATGATAGATATAGATAAGGAGAGATGATACTGTAGATATAGATGATAGGATGTTAGAGATAGATAGTTGAAATGATAGGTAGATGATAGATAGCTAGGTAGATAAGAGATTGACAGACAGACAGATGACCACCCAATGGATTGAATTCATGGAGACACTGTACGTTGCCGGAACAATCCAGCACATGCACACGCAAGGCTAAACCTATTAAGGGGTTCTTGCCACACTTCCCCTTCATCACAAATGCATCTGGTTCATGCTGGCTTGGGAGAGGGCGGGGAGATGGAAGCAGCTGCCATTGCCTGTTAAAAAGAAAAAAGGAACAGGCCACCGCCTGGCCTCAGGTAACGCAGGCTCAGCTGTTGCTCATTCCTTGTCCCCATGCTGACGACCCCTTAAAGTGCTCTCTCTCTGCCGGCTGAACGTGCAGGAAAATGGCCCATGTTAGCTCATCTCTTGTGGACGGAAGAGCGCGCTCACCTCTTTGCAACATCCTTGGGTGTTTCCCCGGCATCATTGGCAATATTGCAGTCGGCTTCCCGGTTAATCAGCCACTCTAAGACATGTAAATGACCTTGTCCTGCCGCTGGCGGGAGACAAGAGAAAACATCAATGCTTCATTTGCTTTTTGCCTCTTAAAGCTTCATTCGTGCTCTTGTTTAATCAGGGGAATAATTTAGAACAGAACAGAATAGAATAGAATAGAATAGGGAAGAGAAGAGAAGAGAAGAGAAGAGAAGAGAAGAGAAGAGAAGAGAAGAGAAGAGAAGAGAATCAGGAAGAGAACAGAACAGAATAGAAT